GCAAGACCTGCTCAGCAACCACAAAAACATGTCTGTATTATCCACAGCCATTTCCGAACAAACTCAAAACACAGCCCCATACCAGCTACTGTGAAGTAAATTTACTCTAGCCAAAACCAGCACAAACACATAGAAGTGTTTGTCTGATGCTTTAGTAATTGCAGCTCTTAATCATTTTGTACTTCCTCTTCTTTTTAATACAGTGAGCATGTAGCCTTAAAAAAAAAGAAAAAGCAGCCAACAAGAATCAACCCAAACAAATCAACACAAAAAGCCATCCCCAAAACAAGAAACCTGGCTGAACACCCAGAGGCCTAGTCATTAATTAGGGGAACTCACAGCAGAGCAGTTAAAACACACTTGTGCCACACCTTGGTGTGCTGGGTATATTTTTTTAAACAATTACAGTGTTAATTCTTAACTAAACAGCAGACATCTGGTCCACTCTGAACAAAGGATCATAGGAAAAAAGCCAGATTGAAACAGACTATCTGGTCCATTATTCTATATTTGGAGGTAATCTAAATTTGCTGCTTCTAGAGAAGCTAGGCACGGTCTCTCATGTGTTATGGCCAATGAACAACTGCTCCACTCTCTGCTTTCTCTAGGATTTCTGTCAGAAAATTAATTTTTACTGTGGCTTACATAATAATCAGAACAAGTTGAACTATGCATTTTAGAAATGTTGACATTTTAATATGTTTTCTTTCAATGAATAATTTCTGCAGATATAGTAGCTATTTCTGACAATAGAACATGAGACTTCAACAAACATATGTTTATGAGTTTGTCATGTACTCTTCAGGCATTTACTCTTCATGTTAGTAATGGCTTGATTTCTTTTTCTTTGCATAGTAGAGCTTAAATTGCTTCCAGGAATAAGAGATGGTATGTCTGTACCTTCAAATCCTTGTGATTTCAGATGCAGGAAGGTACTCTGGAGTCCTTGACCACAGACACATCTGTTCAGGTAGTGATACAGAGTGGGTTGACCCTGGCTGGATGCCAGGCACCCACCAAAGTCTCTCACATTACCCCCTGCAACCTGGAGAGGGAAAAGAAAATCTAATAAAGTGTTAATGAGTAGAGATAAGGACTCAGCAAAGAGAGAGAGAACACTCAGCAATAATTGGAGATAATAATTTAATTTATTCATAGCAGAATCAGAGAAGGATAATGAGAAGTAAAGTAAGACCTTAAAAACACTTTCCCCACCACCCCATTTTTTCCAGCTCTACCTTCTCCCCACTAACAGCACAGGCAGTGGGGGTCATGGTCTGTTTCCATCCATAACCATCCATGGCTTCTCCTGCTGCTCAGGGAGAGGAGTCCTTCCCTTGCTCCAGCATGAGATTCCTCCCAGAGGAGACAGTTCTCCATTAACTTCTCCAGTGTGAATCCCTCCCACAGGCAACAGTTCTCCACAGACTTCTGCAATGTGGGTCACCCTTCCAAGGGCTCAGCCCTTCAGGCACAGCCTGTTCCAGCCTGGGTTCCCCACAGGCTCACAGGTCCTACCACCAAACCTGCTCCAGTCTGGGCTCCTCTCTCCATGGGTCTGCAGGTCCCTGTCCCCAGCCTGCTCCAGCCCAGGGCTCCCACAGGGGCACAGCCTCGTCTCAGACATCCTGGAGCAGGTCTCCTTCCTGGGCTGTGGGTGGATCTCTGCTCCCCTGTGCCCTCCCTGGGCTGCAGGGGCATGGCAGCCTCACCTCGGGCTCAGCAGGGGCTGCAGGGGGGTCTCAGCTCCGGTGCCTGGAGCAGCTCCTGCCCCTCCTTCCTCACTTGGGGTCTGCAGGGCTGTTCCTCTCACACCTTCTCACCTGCTCACAATTATATCTGAGCCAGACCTTTTATTTTTTTTTTTTCCCCTTCTTAAATGTGTTATCACAGAGGCATTACCACCATTTCTGTCAGCCTTGGCCAGCAGCAGGTCCATCTTTGAGCCACCTGGCATTGTCTCAGCTAGACATGGAGGAAACTTCTGGCAACTACTCAGAGCAACTTCCCTGTAGCCCACCACCCCCCCCCACCAAACTACCAAAACCTGGTCATGTAACCCCAATACAGGATCTTAGTCATCTGTTACATTATAAGGCCAGTTTGAGGAAGTTTCTGGAAAGAAATTTCTTCACGTGAAATTGTTTTCTTTTTTCCTTCTCATAAATGTTAATGATTAGTTTAAAAATATCAGTGATTGCATAAAAACATGAAGGTTTTCAACATATGCAATCTTCCCATATCTTTGGAAGCTTCATTGATGTTAAAAGAAAAAAAAATGCAATTAATATATTATTTCATTTTTGATTCCATGTCCTTACATTAATGAAACATTACTTTCATGCAGACTTCTTCAATTCACTTAGGAGCTAAATAATTTCCATACCTCTGTATCCTGTCTACTATATGACTCAATCTTTGGATTACGATCTCCCTCCAAGAAGTAATAATGAGAAAAACAGTAAAGAAGAGATGGTTGTGGTCTGTCTTCAGCTTGCTTTCTTATGGTTTCTGTCTTAACATTTTCCATTGGCAGAGATTTGAAAA